GTTTTAACCCTTTTTTAGCAATTTTGTTCCATCGTTGGATTTGGTGGACAATCTTGCGTTTAGGAAGTTTATTCGGGACGGGCACGGGTCATCGTATGGACCATGAATGCAATGGTGCCAAGTGTCTTTGGCAATTTGCTTTGAAGGGACTGTGATCATTCCGTTTTAGGCAACACTTTGAGAGACTTATGATCATTTGATTTTTGTTTTGCCAAAGATACTCGACGTGCAAGCATGGCCCATTTTGGAAGGCAACATGTGGGATTACCCTAGGGGGTGCAAGTGTGATTGTGTATTGATTTCACGTATTTGTCTTGTATTAGGTTATCTAGCGTTTGATTTTATGTACATGCAAACCCTAGGTCTAACCATGGTATAATTGAAAGCGGTAAATTGCGAAAATGTAAAATCTACGCTATTACAAAATAGTATCCGGGAGTGGGGGTACAATATTCACAAATGGGGATGAGACTTATAGTATCCAATAAGTTACAACCAAATCGATTTTGCGATCAAATGTAAATGATGAATATACAAATATGAGATAAACAAATGTGTATAGGGCAATGTGAATGTATTTGTATTGTGTAAGTGTGAGATGTATTGTGTAAGCATGTAATTATTTACAGGTGCGACAATATGATTTTAAGAAAGTAATGTTAGGTATTTGCTTTGACCTAAATATGCGTTTAATGAGTCTTTGATTTGTATATTTTTAATATGTACAAAAGAAAATGTTTTAATTGAGTGCTTATGAATTTAATATTAGAAAAAATGTATTTATCTATTATGTACAAAGATATATAAAAAAAGTATTTTCAACTTTAATTATATGATAGAAAAAAGAAAAAAAGTATCTTTATTGTTCATGTACAAAAGGAGATGTTTTAATCAAAAGAAAAATCTTTTCAATCTTATAAAGATATATTTCTATGTATATACAAAGATAATTTAAATTAAATATTTTAAAGAAATAAAAACATATTTCATGGTATTTTAGTATTAACGAAATAATATACAATGCTAACAAAAATTAGGTTAGAGGAAAACCATTATAATTAAAAAGTATTAAACGTTTTAAATTAATTAAAAAAAAAGGTTAATTAACTTGTTTTATAAAAGAAGAGAATTTAAACCTCTTAATGGGCCTGTTCAGTTGAAATCGTGCTTTGCAATGGGGGAGTTTTCAGAGCAAGATGATGATTTGTATAGCTTCCTTGAAGTGTGAGGATGCTATTCCAAGTTCTACTTTGTCTTGAAACTCCCTGAATCGTGCTAGAGAACTTCAACTGCAAAACAGAAAAATGAAAATGGTGAAGTGGCTTGGAGGTGTTACAGATCGTGTTTTAGCTTTTGGGTAGCTTGCATAGATGGTATGGAGGGTGTGTGAACTGGTTTGGGCAAGAATGCTTGAGAGGATTGAGAGTTGGAACTCAATCTGCAAAGGCAACTCTGTTTTTGCAGTTTGATGGTGTTTTTTTTGGTTTGATGAGGTTTGGAAGGTGTTTAGCTCGTGTTTTAGGGCAAGGTGATTGTTTGGAATGTGTTTGACAAGTATGCCTAAGCTGGTTTTTGCTGAGATGGAAGTTGTATTGAAAAACTGGTTTTCTGGTTTTTTGACACTTTTTACACTATACTTCCACCAGTGGAAGTTGTATTGAAAAACTGGTTTTCTGGTTTTTGACACTTTTTACACTATACTTCCACCAGTGGAAGTTGTATTGAAAAACTGGTTTTCTGGTTTTTTGACACTTTTTATACTATACTTCCACCAGTGGAAGTTGTATTGAAAAACTGGTTTTCTGGTTTTTTGACACTTTTTATACTATACTTCCACCGGTGGAAGTTGTATTGAAAAACTGGTTTTCTGGTTTTTGACACTGCTAGCAGGTTAAAAGGCTTAGCCGGTTTATGCTTGCTTAGCAGGTTTATGCTTGCTTAGCAGTTTTGTGCTGGTATGGCCTTTTGTTTCTGGTTTGTGAAATAGCAGGTTATGCTTGTGTGGTCTCAGGCAAGTGTGCTTGCAGGTTTATGATGGTTAGCAGTTTTGTATATTTCTTTGGTGTTTTGGAGGCAGGGCTTATGCAGGTTGTGAGTTTGTATATTTTCTGTCTCTTCTCCTTTGAACTGTGTTGTTCTTCTTGTTATATCTTTTTCCTATCTCTGCCTGCCTAAGCCTGAAAACCTGCATCTTATCCCTTCTTTTTTCTCTCTCTCAGTACAGTTGGATATTTTAATATGCTTCTTTCCTGTACTTTTTTCTGAAAAGGTCACATGGGGAAATGATGAAAGATGTAGCTTGCATATCATACCTTCCTCTGCATATTTGATCTCTTCTTTGACAGCTTTTGTACTTTTTTGTCTTCTTTGATATCTTTGTGCAGGAATTTGTATCTTTTGGTATTTGACAGAAAGTTGCATTTGGATTTTCATTTTGGTTTGAACTTGCTTCTGAACTAATGCAGTTTGACATTTTGAATTTATGCATTTTGACATTTTGCATTTATGATTAAGTGAATAAAATTCTTCCCTCTTTGTGAACCGGGAGAAATCCCGTGATTTGCAGAGAGGGTTAACTGATCCCCATCAGTGGCCTTTAATGATGAATTTCTTTTTATCTGTCTTTTATTTATTTATCTGCTTTTTTGACTTTTCTCTTTTCTTTTGCAGATGAAAAATGGAGCACCGGAGCGAAGTGAAGAATGAAGAATTAGGGACTTCGAAAATATTTAGAAAAAATAGGATAATTTTTATTTTCAATTTAATTATTGTAAACCATTATTATTTTAAATACTTCGTAAATAAATACTTGTATCCAAATAATAATTGTAACAAATATTAAATATGAAATAAAAATTCTATTGGTTCATTTAATTCTTTTCAATTCCTTTTCAATTATTTACTTGTTATTTATAGTTCCTTAAATTAAATAAAATGAAAATTAAATTTCAAATATTTAATTCTTAGAACCATAAATAATCAACTAAACATTGATTCTTCGTCGATCAAAAATAAATGAACTTGACGTCTCCATCATCCAAAGCAACGCACAGTCGAACGCAATAACCGGTCAGACGCAATCCTTTCTTGCTGATTTCTTACCAAGCACTGTAAATCCAAACTGCATATTTCTTTTGACTGGCTCAAACAAAACAACGTGAATTCAAACCAACTGCCTCTTTTACTGATTAAATCAAAACAATGCGAATTCAACCCGAATCTCGGAATATCTTGCAAAGTGTTGTGGAATTTTAAGCTTTCTGAGAATATGCCCATAAAACCCTTAATTCCTGATTAAATGCCAATGAACATTCGCCTGATCAAAATTGAGCCAGAATCAACCAAAACCCTAAGCCAACTGTTTGAAGCAATCCAGAGTCTTGAAAATCAGTAAAACCCTAATTTTGCTTGACTGACAAGAAAAGTCCGTTTGTCCGATTCTTGAGCCAGTTTGAAAAATCAGGAAACGCCTGAAGCTGAGATTGCTTGAGAAAATTGCGAGGGCAAATTTTGGGGTACAACAGTAAGGTAGTGTTTTGGATGGAAGAAGTTGGAAGAGTGGCTATCAGTAATACTTTGTGAGAAGGAATTGATGGTGAGAGGCTTTGAGAGAGAAGGAGCAAGTAGGGATGTCAATGGGGCGGGGCCGGGGGGACACTTCCCCATCTTTTTCCCCGCCATCAAATTCATTCCCCGTCCCCGTCCCCGATCTCCGTCACGGGGGAATTTCTATCCCCATCCCCGTTCCCCGCGGATCCCCGTTCCCCGCGGGGATCCTCATAGATCATACATTTATTCATTAATATTTTATTTTTTTAAAATGTTTAAAATGTTTATATTTTATTCATTTATATTTTCTAATATTTACATTTCTCTCTCTTAATAAATACATGAATATTTATTTATTTATTTTTATAAATAAACATAAAGGAAATGACTAAAAAACCTAATCTAAAATATATATATTAAATTAACTATATTAAAATAATAGGCGGGGCGGGGGGTGTATTCCCCGTCCCCGTCCCCGAAATGCTCTCGGGGGAATTTTTCTCCCCATCCCCGCCCCCACGGGGGAAAATTCCCCATCTTTGGGGCCCCAAACGGGGCGTTCCCCGCGGGGATTCCCATTAACAGATCCAAACTGACATCCCTAGGAGCAAGTGTACGTGTGTTTTAATTGGTGGAATATAAGTAGCTGAGAAAGAATTTGAAGGTTATGAGTTACCTTGACTCATTAAGTTAAGAAATAAATATAAATTGGCTCCATAACATTATAATTAAATGATGGTGAAAATTAACATGGTAAACTATATTTATTGGTCTATTACAGTGAATTAAAAATTATCTACTATTACAAATTAGAATTATATTTATTGGTCTATTATAGTAAACTAAAAATTATCTACTATTACAAGTTAAACAAGTTTTTTTTTAAATTTAAATAAAAGGTCAATATCTACTTTAATTACTTTATAGTTTTTATATAAACACCCAAAAATATTATATGATTATTTATTAGCTCTAATAAAAAAAAACTTAAATTATTAATAAACAAAAATTAAAAACAAAAGTAAAATTAAAAACATTAAAAAACATTTTATTGATATCTAAATTAGTTTCAATTTGTTGTAACAAAAAACTTTTTTTTTCCAAAAAAAGTGTAATAAAAGTTAACAGTAATTTTAATAGTTCACCATGATGAGGAAATAAATTAAGTTTTACATCTTATCCTTCATCTTAAATTAAGAGTTGTTATATTGTTTTTTTCTAAGAATTTTAGTTTCCTTGTCAATGGAGTCTAGGTGTGAGATTAAAACCTTAGTAGTGAAGAAGATATGAATAAATCTGAATTAAAGTGGAGGCGTAAAATCTTTTTTAAAGCATATTTTCTTATCTTGTTCATAAGGTAAAGATATGATTAAACATATGAAGAAGGTAAAGATATTCGAGTGGTTGATTATTTATATATTCACTTTGCAAGACCATATTTATCATATTACATGATGGCATCCCACACTACTCTTGAAGTGAAATTTTTGGAGCTTCTAGAGGCAAAGCAAAGTCTCCAAACCTCACGCCCCAAGATCCAAAAGGTTCCACAGTATCTCCGAAATGGAAATAAATTCGACAAGCATTACTCACCCAAGTCGGTGTCAATAGGTCCCATCCTTCATGATAATCAAAATCTCAAATTAGGAGAGAACTATAAACTTATCTGGGCAGCAAAATACATCCGAAACACTCAATTCAGTCCAGAATTTCTACACAAAAAGATTTTCGATAACATTGATGAACTCAAGGTTCTTTTTGCCGAGGATGTTTTAGCTTTAGCCAGTACCGCAGAGTCTCTAAAAGGCTTCCGCAGTCTTGAAGAAAAGCTGTCGTGGCTGTTGTTCGTGGATGGATGTTTTTTACTCTATATTTTGGACGTCAAAGTGAATAGAATATTTGATGATCAACATGATAATCAGGAAGATAATATTAAGTTTGATCAACTTTTTCTTCTTCTGATGACGGATGTGCTTTTGTTGGAGAATCAGCTTCCTTTTCTAGTACTGAAGTTGTTGTGGAAAAATGACAAAGAGAATGAATTGATAGATACTATGATGAACTTTCTCACATATTATCATTGGGCCGTACGAGATATTCAAGATAAATTATCGAATGAGTCACAACCACCAACTCATCTTCTTGATCTTCACCGTAAAATGATCCTCACTACATCTAATCACAAGGTAAAAATTTAGTTTTCTTATTTTAGTATACTCTCTATGATCTCAAAATAAGTGTCATATTTAGTAAAAAAAATTGTTTTAAAATACTTGTCACGTTAGATTATCAATGCAATTTTATATTGAAGTGTATTATCTAATAAATACTCTTCATTTATTGTTTTCTCACTTAACATTAATGTTAATTTGAATATACCAATAGTTAATCAGGATATTTGGTAAAGTCATTATTCTCTCTTTCATTTATTACTGTTTCTTAATCTGTGTGAGATGGTCAACTGCGATAAATAATATGGGACGAAGAGAGTATATGATAAGTAAAATGTTGAAATTCATTTGTTATGTACTTAGACGAAGAAACGTGTGAAATATTCAAAATCAAAACAAGGAACTCGGAAAGCAGACAGGAACATCGAAGATCTAAGAGCATCAGGAGTAAAACTTAAATCAAGCGGGACAGCAAGGCCATCCGACATACATTTCCGAGGGGATGGGTTTTCTGCGCAATTGACTCTTCCTGAGATTTTTATGGACAATATTACAACTTCTTCTTTCCTGAACCTGATAGCATATGAGATGTGTCCAGATTTTAAGAACGACTATGGAATAACTTCATTTGCGGTTTTCATGGACTCGCTCATTGACCATGCGGAAGATGTGAAGATATTGAGATCAAAAGGTATTTTGGTGAATTCACGTCGGAGTGATGAGGAAGTTGCTGATCTTTTCAACATCATAAGTACTGACTTGATATTTAACCCAGAAACATATTTTGAAGTTAAAACTAAATTACAAGAGCATCACTTTAATAAATGTAAGATTTGGTTTATGGAGGGTTATCACACTTATTTCAGCAATCCTTGGGCTATCATTGGTTTCCTTGGTGCGTTTATTGCACTTTCTCTCACTTTCATTCAAACATGGTTTTCCGTTTTCCCACGCTAGCTGGCTCATAAACATGGTTTACTGTGGAACTGACTACTTGAAACTACTGTACTTCACTTCTCAAAGGACAGTGTTGAACTTTTTTTAATCACTTCTTGAGTCTTCACTATGAGTATCTTATAAATGAAGAGTGTGTTTTTCTTTGTGTGACTTATTATTTTTTTAAGAGGTGTGTGGTTGAATTGAAATGTGTAATTTTTATATATGGAGTTTCTCTCATGAAAAATTAAATTTACGAAAATAGGAAAAGTACATGGCCATAAATAGTGTTAGGCGAGATATGTAGGCTAAGAATCATTAAAGAATATGTGTAAGGTAATGTCAGTATAGTCACAAGAGATAACCGTTCAAAGCATTTCTACCTAACATTTCGATAGACTTTGTGTTATCTTTACTAAGGTTAAGTTCAAATCAAAATATACTTAACTGTATTAACATTTTTTATTTCTCTTTTCTAGAATTGGTCTTGTCATTATTATAACAAGTGGGGTATTGTTGTAATTTATAAATAATAAATGTCCATGGGTGTGTTCCAAAATGACAAGAAAAGTGAAAGTGAGTAAATGTCAATAAATGCATGAGAAATAGTCCCACATAGAAAGTGGCACTCACATTAAAAGCAATTATAAATAGTTATGTTCATTAACTCAACAAAAGGACAAAAGAGAATAAAGTTCCACATGGAAATGTGTGGTGCTCCCAAACATTATGCCACTTGTCTCCTCCATACACCCCATCGTCAGTGTTGACACCGACTCCGAGACTGGGACTGGGTCCAAGGGTATAAGCGTAGAGGAGTTAGTGGGGGCTTGTAGGCGGCACTTGAATTTGAAATAAAGGCAATACGTCGGGAGTATAATGAAAATGTGCAACTCTTGAAAACCGTTGATGTAGGAGAAACTAAGAATCCTTTGGTAAAAGTGTTGGTGAGAGGCTGTTGTTTCATCAAGGATCACAACCTTGTGAAACAAAACCCACATGGCCAATAAATAAATCATTCTCAATTCATAAATAATAACATAAAAAACACAAATCCTCTTAAGAAAAATTCCAGATTCTCTTCCTTATATTTGAGTTTTCATCTGTCTTGTGCGAACTCAAGTATAGGGTGAATTATCCTGGGTATTCCTGCATAGAAACTCTAAGACATTCGAGAGTGCTTGAAATACTATAAGAAAAGTGATACATTCATGATTCCTACCTATATCCATTCAATCTAGGAGCCTTATCTAATAGTCTTATAGTATCTCAAATCATGGCTACCGACGCTTCAGTTTCAAGCGTCAAAGTGATGAAGCAGGACCTTGTCAACTTGGATCGTTTTGATGGAACAAACTTCACCGGTTGACTAGACAAAATGACGTTTCTTCTGACCTCCCTAAAGGTTCACTATGTCTTAGATCTTTATTTGACACCAATTTCAGAAACAATAGAAGATAACACTGATGAAGCAATAAGGAACAAAAGAAACGAAAGAAAGATGAATTACTATGCCGTGGACATATTTTGAACTCATTATCCGACCGTCTTTATGATCTATACATTGATACTCGATATGCAATAGAGATATGGAAAGCACTTGAAGTCAAATTCAAGGTTGAAGAGGAAGGTACGGAAAGTTCTTAATATCTAAAAAATTTGATTTTAAAATGTTGGATTCCAAGTCGATTCTCGCACAGGTACACGAGTTACAGGTTCTCGTGAATAAAATAAAAGTTGTAAAATAGACATTCCATATGCTTTCCAAGTTGGTGCAATCATTACGAAATTTCCACCTTCATGGAAAGGATAAATGAAGAAATTGATGCATATTTATGAGGATTTCTCGTTGGAGAAACTTTAGAAACACCTTCGAATCGAAGAGGAGACGAAGGATAGAGAAAAATGTGAGTTTGTTGGATACTCTAAAGCCAATGTTGTGATTGCAAAAGGAAAGAGGAAACATGATGGCATGAAGAACCTTCTTGGACCCAAAAAGGAACATAACAAGTTCAAGAATTCTGTTGGACCAAAAGGCGGCTGCTATGTGTGCAGTAAACCCGACCACTTTGCTCGAGATTGTAGGCATAACAAGTTCAAAAACAAAGTTAATGCTGTTTGTGCCAATGACTACATAATTGCTATGTTGAGCAAGATTATGGCAATCAAAGAAAAGTGCAAGGATGGTGGTATGATACATGTAATACCGTTCATATCTCTTATGACAAAGCAACATTTAAAACTTATTCAGAACTAAATGATAGACAATAAGTGAAAATGGAAAATGAAGTACGATATAGAGTCGTTGGAATGAGATCCGTAAAACTCAATTTCATTTTTGTAAATAAAGTCACTCTTTTCAATGTACTTCATATCCTCGACATGAATAGGAATTTTATTAGTATAGACTTGTTGGGAAAACTGGACATTAAGTCTGTATATGAATCATCAAACTAATATTAACCTGTAACGGTGTATTTATAGGAAAATCATATTACACTGAGGGAATTATCAAACTTTGTACTACCGAAAATATTATCAATGCAATTTCTAATTCTGATTATATGCTTGAATCTATTTCGTTATGGAATTCTAGATTAACACATATTGATATTAGTACTATGAATAGACTAATTAAATTTGGATTGATCTCATGTAACATTCATGATTTTGAAAAATGTGTTAAATAAAAAATGATTAAGAAACCTTTCAAAAGTGTTGAAATAAAATAAAATTTTCTTGATCTTGTGCATTCAAATTTGTGTGAATTTAATGGCATGCTAACCCCAGTGGAAACCAATATTTCATAACCTTTATCGATGATTACTTTAGGTTAACACATGTATACCTTTTAAAGCATAAAGATGATTCATTTAATCACCTTTAAAATTTATAAAGCATAAGTAGAAAATAAATTAAGTAGATGTATCAAATTCCTAAGAAGTGATAGGGGCGGTGAATATTTTTCTACAGAATTTGATGCATATTATGAAGAATATGGTATTATACATGAATGTTCAACACCTGGTACACCATAACAAAATGGTCTAGTTGAGAGAAAGAATCAAACATATCAAGAAATAATAATTTCTATGTTAATGCATTCTGAATTTCCATTTAATTTATGGGGGTGAAACATTACTATCTGCATGTCATATAATGAATAGGATTCCTTTGAAGATAACTGGTATTTCTCCATATCAGATATAGGAAGGTAGATCGCTAAATATTTGTTATTTTAGAGTGTGGGGTGTGTAGCATGTTACAAGAACATGGATCCTAAAGGAGCTAATTTGGATCCTCGAGGGATCAAATGTGCCTTCATAGGATATGCATTCAACAACAAAGCATATATACTTTTAAATCTATAGTCTAATGTAATTGTTGCATCCAGAGATGTGAAATTCTTTAAAAACCTTATCACAAAGGTTAAGGAATCTGAGATTCCCATGAATGAAGAATCTCTTGATGAAGATTCTTCTTGGATTATTGAAATACAAATCAAAATTATTTCCCTGATTTTTGAAACATAAACCGAGCCTAGGATAAGAAAAAGAGCCCTAAAAGTTAAGAATCTAGGACCTAATGAAATTTATTATCAACTCATTTCCTTTTATCTAGTTGAAGGAAATGCGATAATGATGTTCATAAGATTCCTATTATTCTTCAACTAGAGGATGGTCCTAAAACCTATAAAGAAGTAGTGGCTTCAAGGGAATTTTCCTTTTAGAAAGATGCTATCCAAGATAAAATGGATTCTATTATATCAAACCACACTTGGGAATTTGTCGATCTTCTAAAGGGTTCAAGATCTATTGGATGTAAATGGGTGTTTAGAAAAAGTATCATCATGATGGTACATTAAACACCTATAAGGCTAGATTGGTAGAAAAAGGATTTAGACAAAAGGAAGGTATTGATTATTTTGACACATTTGCACCAGTAGAAAGGAACATGACAATTAGAGTAGTTTGCATTAGCTTCTCTGAATGACCTTATAGTTCATCAAATGGATGTTAAAACAACATTCTTAAATGGAGATCTTGATGAGGAAATATACATGGAACACCAGAAGGTTACATGCTTCCTTAAAATGAATAAAAGATATGAAAACTTGTCAAATCCTTATATGGTTTAAAACAGGCACCAAAATAATGGTATCAAAAGTCCGACTCGGTCATACTTTCATTTGGATTTACTCCAAATTCTTGCTAGAAATGTCTATACACAAAGGTTTGTGAAAACACTGTAATATTTCTTTGTCTATATGTTGATGATATGTTAATCATTAGCAATAAGATAAATGAAATTTTAGAAACAAAGAGGTTTCTAATTTCCACATTCCAAATGAAAGATATTGGACAAGTTAGCACAATTTTAGGGATCAAAATAAAATGAAATAATGGGAGTTATGAACTTAGTCAAACACACTATATTTGAGAAAATGTTGGATAAGTTCTAACACCTACCATTTAAGGAAGTAAACACTTCATTCGATCCTAGTGTCAAACTTGAAAAGAACAATGGAAGAGTTGTGGTTCAATTGGAATATGCAAGTGCAATTGTATTCCTAATGTATTTAATGTAATCCACCAGACCCGACATTGCATTTGCAGTTAGTAAGATGAGTATATTTACTAGCAATCCAAGTGGTGAACATTGGAAGGTCGTCACTAGAATTTTCAGTTATATTTTAAAAACCAAAAATATTGGCCTTCATTATAGTAGGTTTTATGCTAAACTAGAAGGATATACCTATGCGAGTTGGATATCGAGTGTTGGAGATCATAAATCTACAACTTGGTGGATATTCACATTAGCTGAAGGTGCAATTTCTTAGAAGAGCAAGAAACAAACATGCATTACTCTTTCGACCATGGAATCAAAGTTTGTGTGTTGTACCCCAAAATTTTCCCTCTCTTTTCTCAAGACATTTCTTACAAACATCTTCAGTAACTCAAGCTTGCACAAGTATTGACTAGGTCAAGCCATCTCCTAAACACTGATGCCTTAAATTAGGG